AAAATAAATAAATAAATAATAATAAAACTAAAGAAAAAAAAGCAAAACATGATATTTCATTACAGATAGACTCACAGACTGAGAGGCACTGTTCTGCACAGGACCATAACCTGGGCTTGACATTGTCAGTATTAGCAATGGGAGGACACAACTATTAACCAAGTTTAATGTGCTTGACTTGGTACTGAAATGGAGGGAGGGGATGTGGGGCGACGAGAATAGCATGGATTCATGTAGTCAACTGAAATTGGCTCTACGAAAAGAAGGAGGTTGGGTTTTGCAACAATGGTTCCAAATTGGCAGCTTTATCCCATTCTGAAGATACCAAACAAACTCCTTACCACGGACTCGATTTTAACTCTTAGCGACCCTCTAGGGCAGAATAGAACTGCCCCTGTGGGTTTCTGAGACTAACTCTCTGCAGGAGCAGAAAGCCTCCTCTTTCTCCCTCAGACAGGCTGTGGGGTTAACAACCGTTTGTACTAACTGAAAGAAATCAGTTTTCACTTTTACCACCACCACCAACAGAAAATAAAGGCAAAACAAGAGGATTGGGGCTGCGGAGCTCCTTCCCTGGGAAACACACTCAGTATCTTTCTCCACATCAAGCCGCATAGGTGCTGAGGAAGGTTGCTGTGAGTGTCACATGCAAGTGAAATACCAGGGGGCTTCAAACATTCCTGGGAAAAGTCCCTGGTCTTTTCATAATATTTTTTCCACAAACATTTTAAATCCTCTCTTGCTCTGTGATACGCTACTAAAGAATCCTCTCACAATTTTATTTCAATGTATTTGAGAATACTTTTGCATATAGAAAGAAAACTCACATTTTTTAATGTCCCTCAATATGGAATAAGACCAACATTTCTATTCTTTACCTTATTTATTTAGTGTCTAATTATATTTTATATGTGAGGTTATGCCAAGCCATCATAGAATAGTTGCGAAATCTTAACCATGAAAGATTCTGGCCACTAGGATGCCTTCAATTCAATCCCTACTATATCCTTGCCAAGGGGAAGATAATCTACAGCCCCAGATCAAATCCCGCCTGCTTTGTAAGGCCTGCAAGGTGAAAATGGTCATCCACATTTCTAAATGGTTAGGGGAAGAAAAGCAAAAGAATAAGAAAATTACATGAAATGGGAAGTTATAATTGCAATGCCCATCATAGTTTTATTGGCCCCCAGGTTCTTGTTCCCTACAAATGACCTACAACTGCTTCCTAGTTATAGCAGCACAGGGGAGGCGAGGGACTGAGGTCGAAACTTCCCTGCCCAGGAAACCATTTGCCTTCTGGTCCTTCACAAGAAAAGTGGGCAGGGTCCCATCTTAAAAGATGAAGTCCTGGATGGCTAAGACAAAGCCTCAGAGTACCCTCTACAGCCACTCTCCAGGATCTCCGCCCCACTTCTAGCCACCGCCCTGGCTCTTGCTCTTCCTACCCAAGTGGCTCTTTCCTTGAGCTACAAGTTCCTGATTAATTTGGCTTTGATGGAAGTGTTCCACATTTTGGAGTTTGTCTCCATTGATTTGACCAAACATGCTCCAAAGAACATGATCTGTCCTCATCTTTCAGCCCTCCCAGCCTGAAGCCTTTGCCAGGCTCACGAGCCAAGCCCCCACTCCCAGTTCTACCTTTATTCACTCGAGGATTGCCCCAGGCTTATGGGAGGAAGAACTCGATGGACAGATTCCCTTCTTAAAACTAGGCTACCTTGACAATCTGGGGTGCAAACAAATACACAGTCTGTCTGTCTGTCTGTCTATCTATCTATCATCTTTCTTTCTCATTTTGAAAGTGATGATAAAATTAGAAATCACTCCATTATGGAACAATCCTTAATCATTGGCCAGGA